TCTCGGGTGGCTTCTCTTCCTCGGTGCTCTGTAGGGTAGGCATCGTATGATTATAGTCACCCAGCCTTGGAGTTTGGTGGGTTCTCCCCTACTTCCCAGGCAATCTGAGTCAGAAGACTTCATGTCACATGCAGACGATGGTTCCCACGATGATGGTGAGGGTGAGGGACAGTGTGTATCTGGGGAAAAGACTGATCTGCTGACCTCTGGAAGGTCAAGATCTGCGGTTACAGAAACATGGTCATGTAAAGCAACAACAGTTGATAGCCTTTATGAAGCATGTACTTGGTGGCAGGCACTGTACCAGGTACCTGGAGGGGATCATTCACTGTGCACAGAGAGGCTGATCACCCATACAGCACTGCACTGCTAAGCATGGAATTACTACTATTCCCTCTCGGGAACCTTTTTCAGAGGTTGCCTGACTCTGTGGCCCACGGCTGTCCTAATCATCAGCAAGCAGATCTCACTGCTACTGGCAACTCTTCACTGGGGCCTTGAGTAGCATTGCTCGGAAGACTGTGGGGCAGCCAGATGCCTTGTTTGGGCATGGGCTGTCCATGGGCCAACCCAACTGAGAAATTTTTTCCTCTAGATGCCGGGCGTCCAGCTGACATGGCCACGGGTAGTAGATGCCGTTCAAGTGGCTCAGACTCCCTTCTGCCTCGCATTAGTGACTCTCTTGGTCATTGGGCATGCCAGACAGACGGGCTGAGCAAGGCCTCTCTACCCCGGATTGTCAGTGGCTCACACTGCAACGCTGAAGCACCGTGAATCAACGATTTAAAAGGGACCCGCTTTGCGTGACATTGCTTTTCATTCACGCAACCAATCTAACAACGTGACCACTGGGAGGCTTCGTTTTGCTTAAAAATAAATGCTCAAAGCTGTCTCCTTTCACAATTACAGAGAACACGTAGCAAAAGTACAGAGGCTCAAACATCCAGACGTTTAACCTCCCATCCTTCCCTTCTGTGTGGCTCTGAGAAGTTGTGCAACCCCGGTCCCTGTGTCCTCTCTCCAAGGACAGTATCAGACAAAGTAATCAGTGTCACAGATACCCCCAGGACACTGCTCAACCCCTGATTTACAGGTTTAAGGGTGTCTTAACTTTCATTCTGTGGACATTTAGGATGCACTTTCTTGTGTTTCCTGAGGTATTTCACTAGTCCATACCTATCTCACTCACAGCATGCTTGTTTTCTTTCTCCGTAGGGCTAAGGTCAGTAGCAACAAGGATGAAAACATGAGCTCTCTAAGGACAAGGCTAAACTCAGGGTAGCCAACATGCCTTCAGGAGCATGGCTGGGCTGTGATTGGAAAGCCTAATTTAATAACACAAAAGTGTTAAGGCTATAGCATCAAGTTAAAAGTTGAACTGGGACTGGAGACATGACTCAGTAGGTAAGAGCACTGGCTGCTCCTCTGAGACTCAGGGCCCAACACTTTCAGAAGACCCAGGTTCTATCCCCAGCACCCAAGAAGCGGGTCACAACCAACTATATATAACTCCAGTCCCAGGATATATGGTGCCTTGATTTGGCACACAGTCAGACGTGCAAGCAAGGCACCTGTACATGAAAAAGTAACACACAGAACACACACGTAAATCACATAAGCATGGGCTGGACAGATGGCTCAGAGGTTAAGAGCCCTGAATGCTCTTCCAGATGTCCTGAGTTCAGTTCCCAAGCAACCACATGGTGGCTCACAACCACCTATAATGAGACCTGGTGGCCTCTTCTAGCCTGAAGGCAGAACACCATACATATAATAAATAAAGACTTAGGGAAAAACTAAAATATTTTTAAAGACACTAAACACACACATGAACATGACACACACATAAAACACACACATACAACACACACACTCACACATAGCATCCGAGCACGAATAAAACACTTAACATACACATAAAATACACACATACACAGGACCTAAGTCTACGAAACTTAGTCTGCAACACCTCCTGGTTGCATATTAGAACTGTTTCTGGCTCCTAGTGGTAGAAGACAGTATCATTTGTTGCTGTCTTGGTGTTCATTTCCACTGAATATCTATGAATATGTATTACTTTTGTAAAGCAAAACAGCTTGGAGAATTAAAAGATTTGATTAACATTTTTCCTATTGTGTGGATTAGGCAGTCACCTTGGAAACTATGTTGCTAGATACTGAAATCTGGGCCCTAAAGTTGAATGTTTCATGATGAAAACAACACTGTAATAAATCATTCGAGCAAAAACATTCACTCAGAATATCCAGCTGCCTGTGGACTGGAAAGCCTTAGGGGCTGACTGTATAAGTCAAAAGCTGTGACATGGCAGAGTACAGCCCCCTAGTGGCCATATGGACAGTCACACCGGCAACAGAAAACAGCTTTTCTCCTGCTCTGTATAGACCTTTCATAAAACCTCAGTGGGAGCCACTATGATTTTATCTAGATAGGAGTGAAACTCCAAGATTCAAAAGTAAACCTCCAATTTCTTCTTAAACCCTCTAGAGCAAGCGAGCCAGGGAGCATTGCTAAGGAAGATGGAAAATTCTAGGCATAGCAGCATCCTCATACCACGTAAGTCTTCCATCAATTTCTGTTGCTGCTTAACATCCAAACCTAAGCTGAGCACCACCTTTAAGGTGCACTGTGTTATTTCTCCAGCTGGCTTCAATTCATGTGTTACCTGCCACTGACTGACCTTAGCTCACTGAGAAGGTTCAATACACAGAGGCATCACAGCTGTCCGAAGCAGCAAGCCATCCCCCCCTTGCTTTCCTTATTCACGCTTTCCACCTGAGTCACAGGAGGCATCTCACTTGTTAATTGGAAAAGTCATAGCACGAAATCAACGCTCTTAAGAAACTTTAACCTTTCCCTTGACTGCTCCCAAACCGAGCCAGTGTACCTCAAACAGAAATACACACAGCATGGGCAATCTGAGTACAGTGCCCCTCAGACATGAAGCCGTCACACTCATTTTCAAGCAGCCTATGTAACAACCCAGCAACCGCGACTCACCGGCAACTCGTCCACTTCTTAAGTATCTGAAAACGGTACTTAGCATCAGTGTGTCACATTACAACTCGGGAAGACTTCTGCCGTGTGGATCTGTGTAAATTGTCATAAACGTCAGCTAATTGGCCAATTGCCTTATGATAAACACACAGTAGCCACATAAGTGAATTGGGGAATAAGGGCAACCATCTGAAGTTTATAAATATTCAAACTTTTACTAGAAACAGCTTGCATGTGAAGTTTAAATGGCATACAGTCCGGAAAAAGGTTCCATTCCAAAGTTCTACAAAAAAAGGAGTTGTATGTTCAGATGACACAAACCAACCAGATACATCTATCTAAGCATCGTCTGGAAAACTTAATCGCATGCCATAGCTTAATATCGCGGGCAATATGCATAACAGAACCCAGAATTACTTTTCTGGTAACCAAGCCAAAGAAAGCAAGGAAGTAAATGGAGCAGTGTCAAACGGAAACAGAAGACAAAGGGAAAGTAACACTGGCATCCCTGAAGTGATGGGTGAGGTGAGCTAAACTCCTGGAGCTTTACAGACAGCTGTTTCCATTTCAGGCAAGTCTGATCACAGAGAGCAGATAACTCAAGCTCCTGCTACTCTTCCAGTTCTCTCTGTGTGTACACAGCAGGCTTCTCCACTGTCTCTACGGGGTCAGAGGCGCTGACCCTCCTTCCCCGGCTGCTTTCCCAGGTGGTCATCCCCCTGCATCAGGGCTGCCTTTCCTTCTGGCTACAACCACAGAAGGCACCGCTGTGTCCCCAGCAAAGCTCAAGTACTGTGGATTTCTGTGCTCATCGCTAACACCCAAACCGTCCTTGATGGAAACTTGCAGAACGCAAGTACCAGCAGAGGGAAACCTCTCAGATGGACTTCATCTCAATCAACAACCCTGGCAAATGACCCTCTTTGATATGCACAAACGACTGTGCTAGTGATTAATAAAGAGTTATGTTTCCCCACAAAACCTTTTCTTGCAGGAGGTTATAGGAAACTGTGGGTCTGGGAGTGTTAATGCATCCACTGCATAGAGGAAGGTATTGAGGGACAATATGAGAAATCAAATGATCGGAGGAACTGGATCCCGTAAAATGTCGGGGAAAGTTAATATGCCGTGGTCTTCATAAAGCAAGGCTATTACAACCCTCACATGGAAGTATCTGGAAGCTTTATAGCTGGGGAATATTAAAAGCACGTCCTCTCAGTAAATTTAAACGTGCTGAACATCGTCGCAATTTTAAGTTTTAAGTGGGGGGTTTTAAAATATCAAATAGAATTATGTGCTCAGGTGAGGCGCTTGGCTTTTCCATATTTTATACCGTGTTACAATCCAGGGTTCGCCCCCTGTAACTTCCTGCGGTTCTAATCTGCATTATATACGCTTTGCTATGTGGATCTGCTGCTTTTCCGACGGTTTAAGGTTCCTGGAAGCATGCATAACGAGGAAAGAAAACTCAGAGCACGCAGCCAGTGATAAACTACAATAAGGACACTTGGTACAACTGTGTGGCCCATTTGAACTCAGGTTCCAGTAGCAAGGACAACAGCCATCTATTTTTAAATGATGAATCATTTGCTCACAGAGTCAGCGGCTGAGTGTGTCTGTGGATGGCACGTAGGTGGAGAAGAAACAAAATCAGTCATTTGACATTTGGGTTCCGGTCTTGATTATTCTCCTTATTAAAAAAATAAAATAGCGGAAGTGAGTGTCAAGGAGACATTCAGCCCAAACTCGACTCTCTGTGGATGATCGAATTTGCACTCTGCACTTACTGCAAACTCGATAATGGGCCCTCTACCTGCTCTCCAGGGAACTAATTCCTTCCCCAACACAGCTTTGGGTTCTAGAGAAGTCAAAGGACTTCCTTATGAGGGGGGTAAACCACGAGTAAAATGATTTCATTACAAAATAACAACTCTCAGTGTACATCAACTGATTTTATGCTGATCATCATCGCCAACACAAAACGGAAGTGGGAGGTATGATGCCTTGGAAACCGCAGTGGCAATGCTTAGTGATGTAGCTGAATGTGCCGTCCGACGACTAGAAACAGTAACCCGGCTAGCAGGGAAAAGAAGATGCCGGCCGGGGCCAGAAAAAAAGACCAGCCGTACAGAACAGAAGGGGTGAACTCCCAGCAGTCCTTCATTTTCGTGGCTCTATAACTTTCCATGTCCACCACCGCCTGCACCCAGATGACATACAGCATCACCGCCAGGAAAAACAGGATACCTGAGGAGGAGAGAAGACCGTTAACCCTTCCGGAGGTACCATCCCGCACCCCCAAACTGCCCTCTTTAAGGGTAAACGCCTTAACCCTGAGCTGGATCGGGCACCATGTGCAGCCTGAAGGATCTGGACCAGTCCTAGAACTTGGGGGCATTTGCTGTTGTCCAAAAGGTCAAATCAAACATGCCAATTACAGTTATGCTCATTGACTTAGTGTATTGAATAAATAACCGGCGTTGAAGAAAGTCCACTGATGTGTCAATAACCCTGAGATAATCAGCTTCTAAACAGAGAGTGCTTACTTTGGCTCACAATTTCGGGGGCTTGGCCCTGTGGCTTTGAAGATAGTTGGCAAGGTGAAACATCATACTGGAAGCACTTGGCTGAGGATACTGTCATTTAAGAGAAGTGATAAAGAACCAAGAGAGAAGGAAGAGGCTGAGTCCCAACATCCCTTCAAGAGCATGTCTGTTGCTAATGACTAGCTTTCTTCCACTAGGCCCCGCCTCCCAAAGGTTCTACCATCCACAGTAGAGAAACAGGCTGGTGTCTAAGCCTTTAACACGCTTCATTTGGAGAATACCCAGATCCTAACGATAACAAGTGTAAAACTGTCCCACAGCTGAAAACTAACCGCATCCCTATTGCTAAGGGCAGAAATGGCAGCATATGGGTGGAAGAGAGCAGCTTTTAAGAGCCCAGCCATCCAACTTTCCTCTGCACGCCACTGTTGGCTTACTACACTGAAGCTGACACACCACCCCCAGGCTGTCAAGTTCAGAAAGCAGAATCCCGAGCAAGGATCAGACACAAAAGAAAGGTTTGTCACCAGGTCGAGATACACTAGTATCTGAGTTTAAACCTCCTCATAATGACCATTCTAGCCACAGATCAGCGTGAAATCAACCAGTATGTTTCCCCAATAAGACAGGCTCTTCGCTCTATGATTTGTATTGTAAGTGCATACACTGGCCCACAGGGTGAAGCAACCACCAATGGGTAGCAAATTCATCAGAGAAACTGCAGAGGCGTAGCTGGAGAGCGAATTCTCGACAAAGCTTTACTTGAGATTTTAGCAACAACATGGCTATACCATGTGTAAAGCGGTGGCTCTGCCTTCAGATGAATTTCTACGTACACAGTGTCCTCTGCTAGTGTAAAGTGTGGGACACTTGCATAATATCCTTTGCCTCCTGAAAACACAGTACAAATCCCCGTCTCATTTCCTGATGCGGTTTCAATCCCCCTTCCATAACGTTTTCAGACATTCTTATTAAAAAATGAAATTGCCTTTGTGAAAAACCAGTCACCCCTTTATATGTATCTTTTTCAAAAAACCGTTATTTGATTGGGAATGTTAAAAGGTTCACTGTGGCCAATAACGTGGGTGATTATTAACAAGAAATAACTAATACTAAAACAATGCTGTTATCGGAAGAGAAACTGCATCACAAAAGCATTTAAAAAAAATAGTCATTTCTTTAATTCACTAATCCGTTCATGACACAGACCATTTAATTGATATGAAATCAGGTTACTGTCTTACCCATGGGGTAAAACACACCCAGTACCTCCTTAACCCATTAAATGACAAATGGCAAGTGGGCATGGGAGATGTGGGCAAACGGGGGGAGGGGGAGGTATTCACAACACCACAATGACTTGACTGCTCATGCAGGAAGAGTTAGTCACGAGAACCTGTACAAGGCCCGTGGTCAAGAGGGGAGTCAGGTAGCCGCCATATACAACTAAGCTAATCAAATAAACAAATCATCAATTCTAATTGGAGCTCTACGGAAAGAATAGAAATTGAGGCTGCCCTCTGTCATGTCAGAATGATACTGAGTGCACCAAAGTAAGTTCACAATAGTCAGTAGGTGGGTGACAGAAATGAGAAACGCAAATGATACAATGGATACTTCCCACGGGCTCAGACCTTCCACAAAACGCTAACGGTAAAGGAGCGAAGGGACCTGCCTAGTCCTAATGCCATGCTGTTCAAAATGATCGAAGCTACCATCACCAGGGCTATGCAAGTCAAGGTGAGGGGGTGGGAGGGGCTACTAAGTGGATTTGGTGCTGCAGCAAAATGCAGACCCTAATTCAGTCATGAAAAGGCATCAAATCCAAACACAGCACCGTCCCAAACCATAGGGCTGTGCCTTGCAAAAAATTACAAGGTCCTGAAAGCTGAAGAAAAATTAGTTCTGGTTTAATTGATACAAGTAAATATATCCATGGCCCAGACTCAGATCCCCTGCTATGAAACTAATTAGCGGGACCCTTTCAAAAATGATAATGGGGGACTGGGCAAAAGCACTTGCAACTTCTGTGTAACATTAAAGATATTCCCAATCCAAAGAAAAATGAAATGATTGAAGGGGGAAATGGGGCAAACCTGTGGCCACCTGGGTGGAGGAGGAAGACGGTGACATGTATTCCCATCAGAGACAGTGACCATCCCTTTGGTAGGGCGTTGAGACTTCAGACTCACTCAGTGACAGTGACTCTGAGATGCTGAGTGGAGGGTCTCCATGGGACACTCCATTAACCCATTGTTATCTGTTTGCAGAATAGGATTTATTTATAGAACATGAACACTGATAGGCTTGGGTAACAAGGGAGCCACATTTCAAACCCACCTGCCACAGTGGCTTTAGTGGAAGAGAAAACAGTGCTAAGATCTAGGCAGCCACTTGTTCTGAAATAAAATGTGATTATATATTTCAAAAGCCCAAACTCTTTTATGATTAAATTTTATGATACCTGTTTCCTGGAGTCTAATTTTCAAAATCAAGAAGTATCTCCCCAGAGGAAAAATTAAAGAATGGTCTCAAAGACCGCTAGGATTTATGGTCATGCTGAACAATGGGTAAGGAATTGAATGACCTGAAGGGCACATTGAATCCCTCATAGATAGCGTGTACAAATGTCATTTAATCCTGTACATTTTACATGGATCATCTCCCCAAAGTTATTTTCTTTTATATGCCTAAATTCAATTTGAAAACCTATGCTCCACTCCCCAGAAAAAAGGGGGGTGGTTAACATTCAGTTACAAATGGACATTGAACATAGTCCTCGATGATAGAAGAAATCAGAGAAGGTGAACATCATAAGGGCTCCCACAAGGCCAAGACAATCTCCTCCACATAACAAGAAAGATGGTCCGTGTGTGTGTGTGTGTGTGTGTGTGTGTGTGTGTGTGTGTGTGTGTGTCCCTCACAGGCTTGGGCATTTGAATACCCGATTCCCAGCAGGTGGCATTTTAGGCAGGAGGTTTGGGACTTGACCTTGCTGGAGAAAGTGTGTCCCTGGGGATGGGCTTTGAGACTTTGTTTTCTCTTAGAATCAAATGATACTGTTTTTATGTATCTTATTTCGGAAGTTTAAAGCAACTAAGGCATTTTGTTCAACACTCTGGAGTTCCCTCCACGCATTTTCTTAGACATCTCCACTGTCGTTTCTGCATTATTTTGAGTCAGTTCTAATTTCTCTTGCAATTATTATCAATATGCTAGTCTGTCTGACATTCACCACTGCACACCCCACCCTACCACTTTCCAAATATAACTGCCTCTTCCCTCTCCCTCTCTGGAGTGATGACTCTTACCTCGTTAGCTGACCCTACATACTACATACAATAATTTTCAGCATTAAACATCCTTGTGCTCAACACAATGAACACCATTGAGAAAGAGTAATTACCAGAGAATGATCAACATGCAATTAGGCTTTCACCTGAAAAGCTCAGTTTTGTTCAACCCTAAAGGGGGATTTTATTCACAACCCTTGAGCTTCAGGGTGTGTTTGAGAGGCACCAGTCTGGATTCTGACCGCCCTGGCTTTCATGACACTTCACTGGCTGGAAGACTTTCCAGTGCTGAGTACCCCTGGGCATGTGTCTCACTTCTCTATCTGTTACTTCATTGGTAAAGTGTTGACCAGTTGAGATCCCAAGTAAGAAAGAGGTCACAGGGAAGAAGAGAGGCACAGCACCCAGCACTGTGATTCTTAAGAGGTTGTCAGCTATCGTCATCCTCATCGTCGTCGTCATCGTCGTCATCACCATCACCATCGTCATCACCATCACCATCGTCATCATCACCATGACAGTGCCTGGCATGAGTTTCTGCTAATGGCTAGCGAAGAATGTTATTTCCAGTGTTCTGCAGCACCACAGAGCCTCATGTGACCACGCTGTTTCAGAACTGGTCTGTAAAGCAAGTAATCCAGTCCCCCCCCCCCCCCCCCCCCTGCTTCCTTCCAACTCTGAACCAGGATGGAACATTTACCTCCAGTGTCTTTTTAGAACTGTCCAGCAGATGGCACCAAGCTTCCCTACAGTCTCAACCGGTATTTTTGAAAAGCACAAACCAATCCAGACTGGGGGCTCAGCCCATCTGAAGGGTGTTTTCTGCTTTATATTTCCAGTTTACCAAACCTCTTGCCCCTCCCCACCAGCCCTTTCATTATAGGAAGTGAAAATTCTTTGTAGCACAGCCTCCATGCACATGTCAATATGGCTGTCCCAGTGGATCTATACTAAAATGAGCTTTTCCTGTACCCATCACTCCTACTTCCCAGAGAACTTAATAAGAGGGAAAAGTGTGAGCAGCTATAAAAGTTAGTGAAGACATAAACACAACATTCCTCTGCAAAGCTACCGTTCAGGGGGGAGTTTAGAATGATACAGGGTTTCTGCCGGACAAGCATAGGTTCTGCTCACAGCCTGGAACTTTCATAATACAGACACTTGGGTCGCAGTGCAGCGGCCTAATTCCTTCTTGCTCTGGGTCTCTCCTCCTCCTCCTGCTGTGGTCACGGTCTCTCCTCACTTCTCTCCTGTTCTTTCCTTTCTTTCTTTCTTTCCTTTTCTTTTGTGTGTGTGTGTGTGTGTGTGTGTGTGTGTGTGTGTGTGTGTGTGTGTTTGAGACAGGGCTTCTCTGTGTAGCTTTGGAGTCTGTCCTGGAACTCCCTCTGTAGACCAGGCTGGCCTCAAACTCAAAGAGATCCACCTGCCTCTGCCTCCAGAGTTCTGGGATTAAAGGGTGTGCCACCAATGCCCAGCTCTCTCCTATTCTTTATATGGAAGAGCATGGCTGGAATGGAACAAGGCGTGCATAGAATACCCCCGTGTGAACCTCGTGTTCAATCTCAGCCAGAGGGAAAGGAGCCTCTAAGCTAGACCCACTGGCTTCTGATAGCTACTTCTCCTCACACACAGGAAAACAGCTCCACTAGGAGATCGCTCTGAATGCTCCTGTCACATGTAGAAATAAGTGTGATTCCTTAGGAAGCTTCGGAAACTCTTGCAACGTCCTCGATCTTCCAAAAGAAAACAGCCACAAACCCTACAGTCTTCCCAGCCAGCCTTTGCTGACACTGTGTTTCTAAGATGGCTCACATCCCAACACTTTTTTATAGCAATTCTTCCAGAACAGGGTGGGGCATGGCAAGCCATTGAAGGCTGGGATCCAGGCTGTTTGTCCTGCATGGTGGGAGATTTCTATAATTCATGCCAGCCCATGTCCCTGGTGAGCAATGTTAGCCCAGGGAAACAGCTGCCCTGGAGGAGGAGCTCACTATGAGGTCAGAATATGGCAAAGCATACAGGTAGGACATGAAATGGGCTCTGCCTCCATCGCTTAGCTGGGACGTCCCTTGTTTCCATTCAAATTGCCCAGGCTGTCACCCTTTGATTGACAAGATGATGACAACCCAAGAAGCCATCAAGGGGGTTAACCAAAATTTAGCTTCTTGCTACTCTGTGAAGGCAAGAGTGAAGCTTTTTTCTTTTTCCTGCTTCTACCATCAACACAAAAACTCAGCAGTCAGCCCAGGCACCACGGGGGACAAGGCAAGTTACCATACAGTGGGAAGAGAGCCTGCTTTTCCTGACTAGCTGGTGAAACAGCTTCTGGTGTCAGCTTTGAGTGTATTTGTTTTTATTCTATATGTATGGTGTTTGCCTGCATGTGTGTCTGTGTTACAGATGTTGCACTGATGTTACAAACTGGTGCTGGGACTCCAACCCAGGCCACCAGGAGGAGCAGCCAGTGCTCTTCTCTGGCTGAGCCACGCCTTCAGTCCCCTCCTAGTTACGATGGCTTACCCCTCCCGCCCCATTGCTGTGGGCTGTCCGGAGCGTGTGGTTCTGTGTCTTCACACACAGACATAGCTGCTCTGGCTGTTCTGTGCTAATGCTGGCATTAGGAATATTCATCTCCCTATGTTTAGATCCTCCTGTCTGCTCATTCCAATGCCTCCTCTGCTTTCCTTCCATGTCAATATCCAGAGAGAGGCAGATGCCCATCTTCTCTTCATCAGAGCCCTCCAGAGGTTTTCTAAGGCTTTTTCGGGTGTGTGCATCACTGAGGGTTACAGCAGCCTGGCAGTTACTACAGATTTCATTTAGATCTGCATCCCCTCAGGAAACGTGTGGCCTGGCATGCCCGAGGGAGGATCTCCCTGAGTACAGGGTGAGGCTACACCTGCTCTGCGAGCCCTGCCCTGAGTTGACACAGCATAGAGATATCATGGACCAACCCATTGCTCCCATGACAGCTGCAACATCATTGTCACTCTGCCAAGCACAGAATGCCCCACACAGGCTTCTGCTAATGACAAAGAGCCTTTGTGTATGCACACACCGCAGAATGGCCATTCGGAATTTGGTTGTTCCCTTCCCCAAGAGTCATCTGCCCAAATAAACAAAGTGCTCAGTCCTGTTTGTGGCATTGGTAAATTTGCCATGGTACACTGGGGCTAAGCTGCACCCGTTCCTAAGTGCCTGGCAGGGTCCTGTAAAGGAGCAGAGCAATCAGAGAGACTTGGGGGAAGTGATGGTCAGACAAGCCAGAGAAAAAATGGGAATGTGGGACCCTCAGCTCATACACTCACACATCTAACTAAATAAGGTATTGGACACTGAGTTCAGTGCAGCCCTGAAATGACATCCTGTGGTACTGCTCTCAGCATGGTACAAGAAGATCTTTCCTCTGGAGCATGGGGAGCAGCCCACACTTCCCATGGTCCCCTGTAAGATGGCAGATGATTCTGGAAGGATAAAACTATAAGGCTGTTAATAACAGACAGACGTCAGACTTCAATATCCTTCTGTCAATAGTGTTTAAAGACTGCATCTGGCAGGAGAAACTTCTAGCGGGTAGTTAGCTTTAGTTGTCTCTGAACCTGTGACTTTTCCTACCCCCAAATGATACAACGAACTGTGATGTTTTGTTTCAGGCAATGGTAGTTTTCTTCCTGCCCACGCAGAATTTATGGAAGTCCAGGGATCTACTGGCATAATCGCCTGCTTTAATAGGTTCCACAGTTGGCGCTGTACCAGCTCGGAGGAAAATGGTATTTCTTTTTTTAAAAGCTCTTCCAATAAGCATGTGATATCCTTTACATGAAACACCCCAAAAAGGCAAGCACATGGAAAGATGCAGGAGATTAGTAGTTTCTTGTAGCAGGGAGAAAGAGGGGAGATTGGGGTTCCTTTACAATATGATTAAAATATTCTGAAATCATGTGGTGGTGATGTTTGTACAAGTTCATGGATGTGCTAAAAATTCCACTGACTCACACAATTAAAAACAGTATGTGGGTTAAACCTTAGTAATGATGGGAAAAGATTAAATGGCCATGAGTTGTAATAGGTACAACCAACTAAAGGAAGTCATCAGAACAGAACGTAAAAAGAAGGACAGAACTGGTTAAATGGGCTACTCCTCAGAATGGGGTTGCATTATGAGAGGAACCATATGCAATCATTATCTTCGCTATGAAGAGCTAAGCACTGTGCTATGTAAAAAGGGAATTGCTAACTGATCACTGATTGAAATTTGAAGGTCAGCATCATGTACTGTCGTGCAAGGATCCTAAAGACAGCAGAGTATTCATCAGTGCCTTTCCTATAACTCTCATTACGGTTTCACATAGAAACGCTCTGTGTGGATGATGATAACTCTGGACTGGTGGGCCTGGGTTCTACAAGCAAAGACGCTGAGCAAACAGGAATAAGCCAGTAAGCAGCACCCCCTCCATGGTCCCTACTTCGATTCCTACTTTGACTTCCTGACCTGACTTCCTTCAGTGATGGACTTTGATGTGAAAGTATAAGCAAAAATATATTTTCTTTCCTTCCCAAGTTGATTTTGGTCATGGCATTTCATCTCAGCAATGAGAACCTTAACTAAGACACCATGTACCCTCTAGAAAATGTAGTCATTGTCAATATCAGCCTTCCATTTATATATAATAATATGGGTAAACACATTACAGATGAAAAGTTATAGAGTGCTATCCCTTCCATCAGGGCTAACAGTTAGCCTTGGCGTTTACATTTCTCTACTAGGGATTCGATAGGTAAAGGCTGCCAGCTCGTGGACAGTGGGAAGTCTGTAGGCATATCGTGTAGATCCATAGTGTCTCAGCTTCACGGTATTACCATTAATAAAAGCCTGAACTCTAGACCTATGTCTAAAACGGAAGGCAAAAAAAAAAAAAAAAAAAATACAGGGAACACGGCTAGGAACCACGCCTTGGGTACTGCACCTACCTGCGGCAATGTAGGAGCCTCCTCCAGCTTTATAAAGAAAGTGACTGGCAAAGGGTGCTGCACAGATGATGACAAAGCTCGCAACCAAGGCGGCCACTACCCCCAGAAGCAGCAGGACTGACCAGAAGCCACGGTAAACTGAAAACCAAGAACAGAAGAAGAGAAACACGTTAGCTCTGGTTGTGACAGGCTTTCCCACAAGCAGTTTGTTCCTCATTGTCCTAATTTGGTTCAGCGACTACCGGTAGACTCTCACACAATAAGCGAGGGATGATCTTGGGCAGGAATCCTCAACAGGAAACTAGCCCTGCCCATCTTCACACATTTTACTAATGCTGCTTGCTCGGCATTTGCACCACGGAAATTCTGAATGTGCTCAGTTCTTTGACCATGTCGGAAGGGGGATACTAAAGGATCTGCCTGGCGTGATCACAGGTCAGCGATTCACACCAGCTATCCAAGGGCCACTCGAAACACAATGCCATGGCACATAAACTCACCCTGGCCTCACTAGGACAGTATTTGTACAGTGCTGAGTTGGGGTAGTCCTATCCAAAAGAAGCTGGCTTGTATTTAGACAGTGGTTCTCATGGAAACTGTTCTTAACACAATGAAAGCTACACCATTAGGAAAAGTTTGTATCAGAAAAAAAAAAAAAAGAAAGAAAGAAACTTTGTGTCAGACATGTAGGGAATGTGGCTCTTATTAAATATTTGTCTTACAGGAAGAAAGTATCAACATGAAGCTCTGTGGGAGTCCTTTACTCAAGGACAGACAGGGCTGAGGTACTGCATGCAGCTAGTGATTAATGGACTGTGGGTCTAGTGATTTACAGTAATCAAATGAAAAGGCATCCTAATGATCATTTTTGAGCTGGATAATTACCAATCTATTAAACAAATCCATCATTTCCCTAAGGCAAAACTGCTAAAATGAGTTCTCTGTGTTTGTGTGTGTGTGTGTGTGTGTGTGTGTGTGTGTGTGTGTGTAAATGAGGGTGATCTCAGGGAGACATATTAGTCGAATTACAATTTTCTTAAGGAAAATATGGACTCTTTATAAGGAAATAAAAATGTATGTTTCTCCATCCTGCAAACAAGGGATAAATGTGTCAATCGACTGCAAGCCTAAGAAACGAAGGGCAGGATTATAGAAAGCTGGAAAGGGGGGCCATCACAGTTTGGTAAGAAGAAGGGCTGCTATTGGTCAGGGGGTGACTAAGTTATGACTGCACAGGAAATGTCAGCTGTCATTTTACTTTTCAATGTTGACCACTTGGCCATAGCTCCCAGGCCTGCTAGGATATATATCTTGTAACTGTAGTCAGGTTGGCGAAATATTCCATCATCAAGAAACACAATTCTCCCTCCACCCCAGTGCATCTCAAGCTTCTACCCCAGTGAGACATAGCACCCAAGATCCAGGAGACAATCCGTGCTTTGCAAGGCAGAACCTGGAAAGGGGATCTCTGCTTTTCCAAACGGTGGGGAAATCATCGTTAAATACCTCCTGTCGTTTCTTGCTGTTTTCCTGCATTGCACAATTACATAGATCTACACCATAGTACTGGGGGCTCAAACTGGACTAGAACTCAATCTGGAAATGAAAGTAGACAGAGGGAACTGCCCAGGGGACGAAAACTGGAAAACTGCTGGGCTATCCTCCAACCACACGAGCATCAAGCTCACTCTTAAGTTCCTTGTGCCCAGGTGCCCAAGACAGCATGACAAAAATCTTCCAGAGGCCCCAGAACCTGGCCCTAGGTAGACATACCAAGTGCAAGATCCCAGGGCTCCTGAAAATACAGTTCATGTCAAAAACTGCCACCACAAACATAAAGGACAGGATGAACAGACCGATTTACTGTTGAAATGATGGGTTAGTATTTTCTGAATTTTTAAAAAATGTATTTTGATAATTTTTTAATTTAAATTTCAAAAAAGACTTGTTTTTACATGTCAATCCCAATTCCTACACCCTCCTGTCCTTCCCTGTTTCCCCCACCCACCCCCATCCCATCCCCTTTCTGCTCCCCAGGAAGCAGACTTCCATGGGGAGTCTTCAAAGTCTGCCATATCATTTGGAGCAGGGCCTAGGCCCTCCCCCATGTGTCTAGGCTGAGAGAGTATCCCTCTATGGGGAATGGGCTCCCAAAGTCCATTCTTATACTAGGGTGCGAGAGAGTCCCTGAAGGTCATTAAACAATTTATAAATGAAACTGGAGCTGAAATGCATGCATCTCTGGACTGGTAGGGAAAAATAACATAACAAGTTATTACAGGATTCCAAGTGGGATTTCATGAGAGCTGCCCTATAGCTGAACCATTGGCACAGGAATGAACTAAACAATGATGTTACAGGTATTGGGAAACTATCGAGAAAAACGGATGCCTTCACTGCCTTTTACCCATATCCCCACACAGTTCATTCTGTCAAGTTACAAGTGTCATCTTGACATTTTATAACATTTAGATAATGAAATGTCTTTTGTCCAAAGGGCAGAGGGAGAAGTCAACCCAAATGACCACAACCTCAAGTCTTTAGTGTTTTGTTGTCCAGTTGCACACACCTATCCAGTCATAAATATCTGATCTGTAGCTCAAAGATACCCAGTATTCACTCTTCAGACCTTGCTCTGTTGTCTCGAATGGACACGGGGCTATCCCAGTGAAACCTGCTCAGCATAGCTTCAGGAGCTTCAGATGCTGCCAAGGAAGCCAAAGCAAATCCCACAGCTACACCTCCCTCCAGCATCAACAACCACTCAAAGATATGTGTCTGAAGCCTAAGGCAAGATGCTTGTCATGCCGGCCAGTAATCCTGTCCTTCGTCTCCTTGAACTGCTTGTCTTGGCAGTGACAAACAGGACTAAAAATAAAGGAACATCTGCCCCGAGGCAGGAGGACAGTCTGTACAATGTGTCCACATGTGTGGACTGACCTGTCTTAAGCAACCACTTCTCGCTATCAAAAGGTCCTTCTCAGGACCCGCCGTTCAGTGAGAGACATGGAGAATTCACTCATCGCCCTGCTATAAAACTAGCCAGAGGGCCAAAGGGGGAGCATGCTGGGCAGGAGGAACAGGGCTCCCCCTTCAGTCTGGCTTGGGGAAGCCTGTGTTTCTTCCAGAAGGGTAGAGAGTACGCAGGTGTGAATGCATTCATTTCTATTTTCCCGCTAATGCCTCCTAAGGAGACTGAAGGCAGAGCTTTCTCTGATGCAGAGCCCCCTGTGCCAGCATCACTGGAGACAGGGACAGCAGTAGCTAATTTCATGGGGATGCCAGGTCCCCAACTTACAATGATCCCACTTGAAATTTTCCAGACTTAACAGGGTGCTAACTGGTCCTCATTTGGTGGGTATGGCATGGATCTCATCTCTATCGATTGTAAGCAGGATGTGGTCATAAGGTTGGGGTCCTCTAGTGGAATTAATGACATTGTAAAATAAGGCAAACAGAGCGGTCCTACTCTGCCAATCAAGGACAGTATAAGAAGACAACCAAGTAAGAGAGGTCCTCTCTGGAACCCAGCCACACTTCTCCCTGACTTCCTTCCTCCACAACAGCAAACAAACTTCAGCTACTTCAGTCACCAGTGCTGCATTGTTTGTCACAGAAGCCTGACTGAATGTGCTACCTACCCCCACCCCAGAACCTGATGGCCACCTCTCTCTCTTTGAGGGGACATGGCGAGCTCTGCCCTTGCCTGTACATAAAGCCAATGAGTAGGACAAATAGGAAAGGAGACGGATTCAAGAGATGGAATGAACATCCTCAGTCATAGACCTTGGGCCTCTCCAGGCTTTTCCCCTGCATTAATATGTAACAGTAGTTCCCTTTTTCCTGGTGCTGTAAGCTTGAAGCTGAATTACCCAACCTAAGGCCTTGCTGACGTTCTTGACACACGGCAGTCTCTAGAATGAGTAGTCTGCACATCTGTCTCTCTGTGTACATGCTCACTCCCACCACTGGGCCACGAACTCCTTCCAGGGCGGAGACTGGGCCTCACTCGCCTCTCTAACTCAAGTGGGAACTTTGGCTTGACGTGAAATAGACGCTCAGTAAAATATGAATGAGTAAGCGACCATTAACTCTTCCGTTAATCTTCGCCGGAGTCTCAAGATAACGGGACATGCAGTGCTCGTGGGATGGAGTGAAGGTAATTCGTTAATAAATCTGCTGCCCAGGCTCCTTTGTCACGGTGGCTGAATGTGCACTGGGAAGAAACAGGGTCATGGAAAAGAGCAGCTGGGGAGTCGAGTGAACAGATGTTAACACCTGGGGCCTCAGAGCCATGGCTTTTGTCTCCACGGCTCCTTGTCCCCTTACACAGCAGTGCATAGCTATGAATCCAGGGCATGGAGGTTTCTATGACCTCACGCCTTGATTTCTGCTCCACTCTGAGCACGTGATCCAGTTCCCTACCTACTGAATTCCCTTTTCCTTAAACAACAAAATATCTGAGGGACATCCAAAAAGATCCATTGGTCTTAAAAGCAAGACATGAAGAGAACGTTTATAAAACTATTTTATATCACACTTATTTATTTCAAACACAAAATTGGTGTCTCCACACTGTTGAGCAGATCCTCGGAAATCACCAGCAGAGGCTCAGTAACAAGGACTCTATTCTAAGTGCCCTTGGATCTTGGTACCCTTATTTTTTTGATTTCAGACAACTTGATTCTGCACATCTCTAACACCATGAAAATCACATCTTTTGGTGTTGGGGTGGGGATGATTTGAGGCCCTTTACTAAGGAAAGCTGTTATAAATATGGAATCCTCTTAGCATGTGACTCAAAGGTGTTTCTACCATCTGACCAAAGAGAAAATTTTTAAGAATTACACAGTGTTGAAATGCTTTGCTCTTTTCCTCTATGTGTGTCATAAGATACACAACAAAAGAGGTCATCAGCAACCCATTGGAATCCCACTTGTACAACCACCAAACTCGAATTCTATCTTTTGTCAGGTGCTGTGGTAGGTCATCGAGTCCTGGCATTGCATTACATCATCGAAAATGCATGAAATGCAGAGAAACGCTCAATTGGATGGCAGTCAGTGGTCAGCTATGCTGAGGGAGGAGGAGAAGCAGAATGGCCAAGAAGGAAGGCAATCCTGAGACAATACAAACAA